GAGAAGGATATCATGTTTGGTAAGGTGGAGGGTCAGAGAAAAAGAGGAAGACCCCCAGCGAGATGGATTGGCAAAGTGGCAACATCAGTGGGCTCAAGCGTGGCAACGGTAATGAGGTTGACCCAGGATTGGACAGTGTTTCGTTCTGCTGTGTATAGGGTCACTATGAGTCAGTACCGACTCGATGGCACCTAACAACAACAATAATAATAGTCACCTGGGCACACTGTGGTGGGCGGGACCTTGATGTTTCAGAGGCTTCTCTATCTTTTCATTGCCAGTAGAGATATTACTGTTGGCCTGCCTACCTGCTTGGGTAGTTTTAAATTTATTTATCCTTTTGAATTTTTGTTATCAAATGATTACATAAGCCAAGCACCCTCCCCACTAGTCTTTGGCTCTGGGGGCAGTGTTACCACAACTGTGTCCTCCTTCATAAATACACAAATCGGAACTCCCACCCCCACCCCACTTCACACAAGGGACAGCATACTATACACGTAGATAGTATGGCTCTTTCTTGCTTTTTCCCATCTTGGAGATTATTTCGCTGATTTGTAATTGTGTGTTGTTGTTCAGTGCCATCGAATCGGTTCCCACTCATAGCGATCCTGTATAGGGTTTTCAAAGAGCAGCTGGTGGATTTTAACTGGCCACCTTGTGGTTCCCAGTCCAGTGCTGATCCTACAGCTTCTCTCTCTGTTTTAACCTTTCTCTTTTTAAATAGTTGTGTAGTATTCCATTTTATGGCTGTTGCATAAATTAACCAGATCCTCATGCTTCAAGTCCTTTATTAGGATGGAATTGCTGGATCAAAGATTAAGTCTATCTATAAGGAGCTCTGGTAGTGTAGTGATTACGAATTGGGCTGCTAACCTCAAGGTCGGCAGTTCAAAACTGCCAGCCGTTCCAAAGGAGAAAGATGACGCTTTCTGCTGCCATAAAGATTTACAGCCTTGGAAACCCTGTGCTGGGCGCTATGGGTCGGAACCGACTCCATGGTACTTAACTACAACAACAACAACATAATTGTGCCAGATGGTGCTAGATTGTTCTCCAGAGGTTGTACCAATACCCTGCTAGCAGCAGGACCATAGAGGGTCCCAGCTTCTCTAGATACTGGGTCCTCTCTACCATACACCCTCAGACTTTTCCCCTGAAAGGTGAACGGTTATTGTAGCGTGCCTACTCCTCACTCATCGATTATCTCACTATCTGACATTTTCCATTTGTTGTTGCTAAGTGCCGTTGAGTTGGTTCTGAATCATAGTGACCCTGTATAGAGTTTCTGAGGAGCAACTGGTGAGCTTGAACCACCAGCCTTACAGTTCAAACCGACCCTTAGGTCAAGTGCTTATCTTAAGGCCTCACACCAAGACCCTTCCACTTATAGCGATATTTAAAAGTCTACCGTCTGCCTGTTTTGCACATTAACAGCATTCATCTTGCATGACAAACGGTGAGGTGCAGTGCCTAGTAATGTTGGTTGTGTTAGGGTTACAGTCGGCTTGGCTGGGCCATGGTTCTCACTTGTGCGGCAATTATGTAATGATGAAATTTGGCTGTGGTATAATACACAATAATTTGTTATATAATACAAAACTGATGGGACACTGTGTTTTCACACTGTCTTCGGAGTTTAGCCACGTCAATAAGTGAACATGGGTGTGTGTGTATGTGTGTGTGTGTAAACAGTTCCAGTAAAGATTGTGTGGTTGTAGTTAATACTTGTTACCATAGTATGTATGTGAAAAAAATATACACTTATATCCTTTCTACTCTTGATGGACATTTGGGTATTCAGTTTTTGCTATTAGTAAAAATGCTACTGTGAACACTGAACATTATTGTACATGTCTTTTTATGACCTTTGTATAACGGTTGCATATATGCCTAGAAGTAGAACTGCAGGGTCATTAAGTAAGAATATGTTTATCTTCAGCTGTAGTGTCTTCAGCTAAAGTGGCTGTGTATTCTATCTGGTGAGGTCCATGTGTATAGTCGTCTCTTATGCTGTCTAAAGAACGTATTTGAAATGAACAAATCGTTGATTCTGCAGAATTCTATCATGCAATATCCAGCATCATTTCTATCACCAAGGCCATATTTTCCAACCACTGATCCTTCCTCTTTGCTCCCAACCTTTGCATTCCAGTCACCAGTAATGATCAATACATCTTGATTGCATGTTTCATCAATTTCAGATTGAAGAAGTTGGTAGAATTCTATTTCTTCCTCACAGACTTCAATATGGATTATATCTCAATGTAAAGAAAACAAGAATCCTTACCACTGGGCCAATAAAGAACATTCTTATCAATGGACAAAAAATTGAAGTTGTCAAGTACTTCATTCTTCTTGGATCAACTATCAACACTCACAGAAGCAGCAGTCAAGAACTCAGA